TAGTGGCAAGAAGCTGCACTGCAATCCTAAAGGCACACAATTCAAGGCCACCAGCTGCTCCATGGGATAAGGATGGCAATCTCCTCCCTCTCGGGTGACTAACTGCCTCTGACAGTCCATCAGGGGTAAGCCTGGGTCATTTCCCACTCTACAGTATGCAGCATCAACAACTGCACAGTTGGATCAATCAAATTGCTGCTCCCCTAGGGGTCCAGCCATCAAAGCAAAACTAAAAGCGAAACAAAGCAAAAACTAGTGAAGCAACTTTTGAAACTTCAGTCAAATATTTGGATTTTAACTGTATATCCTAAAATGAAGCCTTCAGTTAAAATATCATGTCCATATAATCTAACTAACTACTTAAGGGTAAGCCTATTTTAAAAAGAAATCTACTTTTCTCTGCTATGGAAGAAAAACCGTAAGTTAGCTATGGTAATATTCAACTTAGTAATTTATTTGTAAATGGGAATAAAATATAAATGAACACCAGGTATCTGAGGTAAACTAGAATCATGAAAGAGAAAAGTCACAATAACAAACAGAACACTAGACCATAAGTAAAAATAAAATCAGAGAGATAATATAAGAAAACTGAATAATATTCTAGGTGGTATCCTCTGAGAGATTTTGAAAGATAATGCATTCACAACTAGATAAATGTTACAACATGAAAAAAGAACATTATGACAAGAAAGGGCTCTTGTCTGCAAAATGAAAATAGGATTGGAAAAAAGAAATCTAAAAGGCTTCCATGAATATAAACTGGAAGAAATCTTCCAGCAAAATCCAGGGAAGACGCTATAGAGCCAAATGCATGAGCAAACAGGAAAGAACATCTATGTCCAGTTCCCCAAACCGAACAAGTGCCCATCAACAAAGGAATGGATAGAGAAGCTGTGGTATATTCACACAATGGAATATGATGAAGGACTGAAAAAAAAAGAACTCATGAATTCTTATAAAAAATGGGAGATCCTGAAGGTTATTTTGTTGAGTGAGATATCTCAGTCATGAAAAGACAAATACTGCATAATACCACTATTATAAAATAGGACTGACAGGGGAGTTGGGGGAATCCAAGAAAAGAGGGAATAAATTATGTGTACTACATTGAAACAGATGAGAAATAGAACTGATTGAAAGGAATATATGATTAAGTATTCTTTGCATGACAACTGTTGAGAATAACAGCTGCACAGTAAAGTGGACTGGGGATGGGAGGAGTGGGGGGAGTTGTACAACAATGAAAGAATTTCTTTCAAAGAGAAAAGTGAACTCGGGTGGGGAACAGGGAGAAAAATGTGCAATAATGAATTAATGGAAACTCAAGTTCTGTATAAAATTGCATTAAATTCTCAAAACCAAAGACAAACAACAACAAAAAATTGTGAGTTTCAATGACAACAAAAGTTATTTTCTGCTCCTCCATGTAAAAGTCTAGCAGCCCCTGGTGGCAAAGTACATGGCAAAGTACATAACATGCTAGGATGCTAACCAAAACCACTTCTCTGAGAGAAATACGAGCAGTCTGTTCCTTGAAAGATTTACACACTTGGAAACCTGACAGAAGATCAGTATGAGTCAGAACCATGCAAGAACAGAAGACGGATTTTTTAAAAAATATGAAAGTATCCAAAATATTTCTAAAACTGAAAATTCAGGCAAAATAAAGCTGAATAATATTTTTCTAAAAATTTTAGAGTAAAGAAATATAGTGGTTCTTAATTTTTTTAAATTAAAGAACTCATTTTAAAATCAAATGAATAGTCTAGCTCCAGGTTCAGTACATGGAGGGGAAAAATTTTTCTCCAATCAGTGAAACAGTCCTTGGATTTTTTTAAAACTTTATTCAAAGACTAACCATAAATTTTAATATTTTATTCAAAAAAATATTTTATTCAAAGCTCTACATTGTGCAGCAAAAGTTATCCTAAAGCTATTTTTAATTGTCCATTGATTTTCATTATAAAAATCCCTCAACTGACTGACTAGAAAAACTGGATGAGAAAGAGGCTCATATGAACAGGCCTGACATAAAATTCTTAAGACCTCAGTTCTTATCTTTTCTTAACAGAACTTTCATTACTCTCTGGAATATAATCTCCTCTTATTTCTAGGCCTTCATATACTCTCTCTGGTCATAGGGACAAAGGAAACATGGTTACTCTATGTCTTAATGCTAAAAACTCTTATATTTGATCAGAGCTTAATGTTAACAATGTCAAAAAGAGTAAGACGGGAGACATCTATAATGAAATTCAATGTCACACTTCACCCCAGACAGATAAACATATGATGACAAGCCACCCTGAAAATTCTTCCTTCAGCTTACACATCACATGTAATCAGTGTCTTTTTATATTTTATTTATCAAGCAACAAGGAACACAATAAACTATATATGAAGCACTGCGGGGAAACCCCCAAAATAATAAAAAGCAAACTGCCTAAAACCGCAGAAGCCGCTTGCTTACCATCCTGCAGAGGAGAGAATGTGAATTGCTCTTCTGCCTGGGTGGGGTCAGTAGCACAGCTGGCTCAAAGACATGTGCTGAGATACTGCTGGCCAGAGTCACACTATCTGGTGAGTTTGGCACCTGAGACAGTTTAACTGGCCGCTCCTCCTGTGGGAACTCAGCCACTTCTTCCTCTCTGAACATCAATGGCACAGAGGTATTAGCATTTACACCCGGACCTTCTGAAAGAGATGAGAGGCTCTTAATACATAAACAAAAAGGGACACACTCATACTTAAATCCATTACAGCAAAGTACAAGATTCACATCTGGAAAGTCAATAATTCACATCTGAAGCTCATGGACAGTCAGCATTAACAAGTTGCTATTTGTTTTTATTTTGGGTTTTTTTTAATGTGTTTGGTCTTTTTTTAAACTGCTAATGTGAAACCTATACTTGGACCAAGAGGCAGTCATCAGAACAGAGCAGGGAGATACTGGATGGTTCAAAATCAAGAAAGGGGTCCGTCAGGGATGTATTTTGTCTCCATACCTTTTCAATCTGTATGCAGAATAGATCACCGAGATGCTGGGCTGTATGAGGAGGAATGTGGCATCAGGATTGGTGGAAGAATCAACAACAACCTGCGTTATGCAAATGACACAACCGTGCTCACTGAAACTGAAGAAGACCTGAGGCGTTTGCTGCAGAAGGTCAAGGACTGCAGTCTTCAATATGGATTGAAGCGCAATATCAAAAAAACAAAGATTCTCACCACTGGGCCAATTGGCAGCATCAGTATGGATGATGAAGAGATTGAGATAGTTAACAGTTTTAGTTAGCTTGGCTCCACAGTCAACACTCTTGCTAACAGCAGCCAGGAAATCAGGAGGCGAATTGCATTGGGAAAGTCGCTGTGAGGGACCTCTCAAGAGTACTGAAGTGCAACGACGTCAGGTTGGAGACTAAAGTGCGGCTGATCCAGGCTATAGTCTTTGCAATTCTGTGCTATGCATTGGAGAGTTGGACAATGAATAGGGATGATAGAAAGAGAATTGATGCCTTAGAGTTGTGGTGTTGGAGAAGAGTGTTGTATATACCATAGACTGCTAGGAGAACAAACAGGTTTATCCTGGAGAGGGTGAAGGTAGAATGTTCCCTTGAGTCAAGGATTCTGAAGCTTCGTCTGCGCCACACCAACTCCAAGGGAGTCTGCGTGACAAAATCACCCGACTGAGGCGAAAACTTCAAGGAAGTCAGCCTCTCGGAACATGTGCTTTCTCCATGATTGTTCTTGGCCTTTCTGTAATTTCTCTTCTATTGTCTCTTTGTGTTTTCTATGTCGGACAGGGGGAGAAGGCTGTGTTAACACACTTTACACAAAGTGTTCCTACTTAAAAGTTTGTTAGATGTTCCCAGAAAGAACTAAATGGAGGTGACGACTTTAATACACAAACATTACCTCCGGTTCTTTTAGCATTACTAAAACTTCTCAAGAATAATAAGATTTTAGGGTAATCCATGGATGCATTATGACAAAAAGAATTAATGGTGGAATCCCAAAGATTTCTAAAATCCCAGAGATTCCTAGATTTCTAGGGCTTATAAGAACTTCTTCAAAGGAAAAACTCAAACCCTTGCCCCCCACGATGAGAACACCAGGTGGAAGAATTGTTTCTCTGTTAGGTAATGGTTGTTTGTGGCAGCCCTCTATTGGGAGAGGCCCTTACAAAATTCCAAAGCCTACAGATAAACCTCTTCCATATACTGGAGAATATAATGAATTTAATGCAAAACACCCTGATGGTTTTGTGTCTTGGGATATATTTTTCAAAAGGTTTGAAAATAATCAGAGGGAAGATGTTAGGAGAGGTGTAAGTGGTAAAATAAATCATGAAACACGAGATTGGGATGATGAATTTAGGCGATATTATGACCCAAAACATCCTTTGTATGAACCTAAACCCCCTTATTGAGATAGTAATCACCCGTAAAAGTGTTGTCTTTTGAATGGAAATAAATAATATTGTAAATTCAGCTAAAAATGTAAAATGTATCAGCTTAAATTTAAAATGTAACTTTTTTACTTCGTAACTTTGTAATCCAAACAAGTTGGAAAAGAGGTTTGAGAAGAGGTTTTAAAAAAAAACTTTAAGCATAAAGCCATTGTCTACCAAGCTCTCCAATTACCAAGGAACCATGACCATAAAGAATAGCTGTGTGCAAGAAAATAATGTAAACTTTATTCTTACTTTTGTTGTCTTTTTGGCTATTGTTAAGCCCCTAATTGAAAAAATGGGATATAAATGTATCATGCTAAATGCAATAGAGAAGCAGGAAGAAGAAGAAGGAGAATGAGAGTGACTTAGAATTAAAATCATCAAGATCACTTGACTGTTTGTCTTGTGTTCTTTCACCGTCCCTCCACTGAACTTCTACCCACCTTCGTGTTCCCTCTTCGAGACCCTAGACTCCAGGCTTGCAGCCCCTCCCGAGTGCAGCAGCCCGTGGCACATCTGACATACTTTGGGCATGTTGCAAGGAGAGACTGGTACTTGGAGAGGGACATCATGTTTGGGAGAGTGGAGGGACGGCGCAGGAGAGGAAGACCCTCGATGAGATGAATCAATTCTGTGAGTGGAGTGGTGGGAATGAATGTGTTTGAGACAGTGTGATCGGCACAGGATAGAATGGCATTTGGGGCTCTTGTACATAGGGTCGCTATGAGTCACCAACGACTAGATGGCACATAACAACAACAACAACAACATTCCTGAGAAAAGCACTGAGGATGTCAAAGCCATAAAAATCTAGGACTCTAAAAACTCACTGTGAAATTCCTAAAAAATATCCTGTTTTGTCTTGGAAGAAGTATTCCTTAGAAGGTGAAAGGTGAAACCTTGTCTCACATACTTTAAGCATAATATCACGACAAAGACACACTGGGTAGAGATCAGTGAAAAAGACCCTCAAAGAGAAAGGCTGACAGACTAATTGCAGTATTAGGCTCTAAGCCCAGCTGAGATTGTGAAGATAGCACACGATCAGGCAGTGTTTTGTTCTATTGTATGTAGGGTCATGATGAGTCTGGGCAGACTCTACAGGACCTAACGAGAAATCTTCAGGAAACTTCAGAATTCTCCATTATTTGTATGAACAGCTTTCTAATGGTCCTGACAAATTAACAGGATGGCAAGAACAGGGCATATTAATCCACTACTTGCATATACAAGACTCATCACAACATAACGTCATTCACAAGGCATCAAACAGCAGTCACATTTACATCATCAATACATCATCATAAAGTGGTCACATACATTCCCAATTACTTAAAAAAGGGTTACAAGAGCTAAGATTCATAATGGAAAAATACTACAGTGGGTACCTTTAATGAACAGAAATTCATTTTCTCATAGCTTAGGAGGCTAGAAATCCAAATTCCAAGTGCTGGCTCTAGGAGCAGGCTTTCTCTCTCTCTGGCTCTCTCAGAGGAAGGCCTCTGTCTCTTTAGCTTCTGCTTCCAGGTTCCCTGTAGCTCTCCATGTGTCTTAGCCTTCATCTTACCCCATCTTTCCTTTGATAGTTTGTTAAACGTCTTTTATGTCTCAAGGAGATTGGACATATGCCCTACACTATGGCTTTGTCTGATTGTTTACTCTCTAAGGTCATTAAGCATTTTAACTCAAGTCTGAAAGGATAAAACTACACTCACCTGGATCGTTTACAATTCTTCTACTTATGGCTCCACGTTCTGATGCCTCATTTTCTTCCCTGATGTTGTTTATCACCGGACAATTCTTAATGGCATGTGTGAGGGATATAATTTGCTCATCTGTCGTGACCATGTACTGCTGAAGTCTTGTCTAGAGAATAAAGAAGTGAAATCATATTATCAGTATGTCATATATCAAACTGTGGCCTAAAGGGCAAATCATGTAAAGCATATACAGATAAGTATCTGTTTTTTTGTTATTGGAGTGTACTATTAAGCTGGAATTGGAACCAGCCCGTAGCTAACTATATATATATAATTTAAATTCAAATTAATAGATATAAATCAAAATATCTAAGAATTTCTGACTTTACCAAACAATGCTATTGCTAGGAATAAACAATTAAAAATAACTATTTCTAAATAGAAATAATGTAAAACTCTGATGACAGAAGAAGAGTTAAGTAAAGAATGGAACATTATGAATAATAAATATACTGCTATGGAGCTCTGGTGCCCAGTGGTAAGAAGCTGCACTGTCAACCTAAAGGCATGTGGTTCAAAGCTACCAGTTGCTCCAACAGGGAAAGATGGGCAATCACAGTCACTGTGTCAATCCATCTCATCAGGGGTCTTCTCCTCCTTCACTGACCCATGTCATCTGTAACATGTAACAAGAAGTATACTGCTACAATAATAAAAAGGAGCAGTTTTTTACAAAATCTTTCACAGAGATCATGTCCACTGATTCTCACGGGGGTAATACTTATGGCCTAGTCCATGGTGAGATGCACTGATAATCCAAAGGCCAGATCTCTATGGTGGACTGAATCCATCAGCAGTTTGGAGGGAGAAAGAATGTCAATCTCTTTCCCTGAAGTCTTTGAAAAACTGCTGGAGGGGCAGCCAACAGTCAGTTCTGACTCAAAAGCAATGAATTTGAGCGTTTATTTTATCCACACAGTTTACACAGCAAGAAGTGACTGCACTGCCAACTCAAAGGTAGGTAGTTCAAATCCACCTCTCATGCCATTTGCTGCCTTTGAAAACCCACGGAATAGTCAGTTCCAACTTGACAGTACGCAAAAACAACAGTCTATATCTAAATACACACACACACACACACACACACATATATATATACATACATACATATGAATGTATAGATGGGTATGTATCAAAAGATTTTGAATCATGGTGACCCTTCACTGGATTTCCAAAGCTGTATATCTATCTTACTGGAAGGAGATTACTTCAACTTTCTCTGTGAAAGCAGCTGGTACATTCAAGCTGCGGACCTTTTAATTAGCAGACAAATACTTAAAACTATCATACCACTAGAGCAAAAACCCTCACTGATTCTCATAGGTCCCCACATGGCACAAATGACTTAACTCTCATGGCCTAGGGAGTTGGGAATTGTGCTGGCAACCCAGAGGCAGCCCAGACAAATTCACCAGTTGTTCTGAGGGAAAAATATGGGCAACCTCCATTTACAGTTCCTGAAAACCCATTAGAAGGTCAGCTAGGACCCAGTTTCAACTTGACATCAATTAATGAGTGATTAACACAAAAGTCATTAGTTCAAACTCATCCAGTCGCACTAACACACACACACACACGTGTGTTTTGAGAAAAATACCATGGAGCAATTCTATTCTCTATCCCATGAGATCACAATGTCATAATTATATAAACACAAATGAAAATTAACAATGGCAAGAAAGAGGTACTATTACTAATAGCTACTGGTGTTGGTGTTGTGTACCATAGTGTCAGAACTGACCCATAGCAAACCCTCTGGCAGGTTTTTACAGGCAGTTAATCACATGGGAGGAGACTGCCCATCCTTTTCCCATGGAAAAGTTGGTGGCCTCGAACTACGTGCCTTTGAGATTGCAGCACAGCTTCTTGCCACTAGGCCACCAGAGCTCCCAAATAGGTACTGCTACATGAAGTACTATATATGTTATATCGCCAGTCGAATTTTCTTCCCTGGAATTCACAGTGTTGTTGTTATGAGCTGCTGAATTGCTTGTGACTCATAGCAATCCTATGTACAGCAGCTCTAAAACCTGCCCTGTCCTGAGCCACTCTGATTTCAACACACCAACCCCCCTGCCCCATTATATTTAAACCTGTTTCCAAGGTATATATTCAATAGGGAGCTCTGGTGGCCTACTGGCAAGAAGCTGGAGTGCAATCCCAAAGACACCAGCTGCTCCGCAGAAGAATGGGCATTCTCCTCCCATGCGATTAACTGTCTCTGAAACCCTCCAGGAGGGTCAGTTATGGATTGGTTCCGACTCTGCGGTATACACCAACAGCGGTACACAATAATAGCGTATGCCATCATCTCAATGAACCTTCTCAAATTAAAATGTCCAAAACCAGGCTTATTTTCTTCAAATCCTCCCCACTTGATAACAGAAAATTCAATCCTTCTAACTACTCAGGCCAAAAATATTGACTCTTCTCCTTCTTTCACACACTGTGTCTGATCACCAGCAAATTCCACTGGTCTACTTTTGACTGACCACCAGTTTTGTGAGCATCCTGTGAGCTCACAAGACACCAAAGGGTATTTTCAATTTCTGAGGGAGATCATAATGTGTCAGACCAGAGAAGCACTAAGTCAAGAGGATTCACAGTCTCAGCAGTACATTATTCTCTTAATTCTTTCAGATGACAGCATATCTTCATTAAGTCAGATTTCAGCAACTGAAATACAGAGCTGTTGTACATAGGATCGCTATGCATAGCAAGCAACTCAACAGCACGTAACAACTACAATGATGAAGATGATGTCATGAAAAGCAATATGAAACAGGCAATAAGAGTGATGCTGTCCAAAATGATCCCAGGCTTATAGAAGCTGTATTCATAGAGTTGCTAGGAGTTAGATTGGACTTGACAGCAATGAAGTTTTAATGAGGTGATTACACCACCTTGTGGATATACAAAGCACCACTGAATTAAACTTTATCAGGGTAAATTTTATAGTATGTGAATTACTTATCAATTTTAAAAATTGCATGTCTTACTTCTAATGAACATTCATACAAATATAAATTGTCAACTATCTGGCCAAAAGATTGGAAGAGGTCCATATTTTTTCTCATTCCCAAGAAAGCTGATCCTACTGAATGTGCAAACTACCAAACAATATCATTAATATCACATGCAAACAAAATACTGCTGAGGATCATTCAAACAAGGCTAGATAAAGAACTGCCAGAAAGAGATCAAGGCAAAATCATTGCTGATTTCAGATGGAACCTGGCTGAAAATAAAGAATACCAAAGAATGTGTATTATGCTTTATTGATTATGTAAAGGCATTTGACTGTGTGCATCTTAACAAGCTGTGGCTGACATTGAGAAGAATGAGAATCCTACAGCACTTAATTTTGCTCATGTGAAACCTATATCTGGCCTAGGTTTAGATCAGGAAGCTGTTGTACAAACAGAACACGGGAACACTGTTGTTGCTGTTGTTATGTGCTGCTGAGTTGCCTGCAACTCATAGTGACCCTATGTACAACAGCCCTAAACCCTATTCTATCCTGTGCCAATCTCACTGTCTCTAACACACATACCACCATTACCCCAATCAATGCATCAATCCACCTCATAGAGGATCTTCCTCTCCTGTGCTGTCCCTTCACCCTTCCAAGCATGGCATCCCTCTCCAAAGACTGGTCTTTTCTTGCAACACGTCCAAAATATGTCAGCTGAAGCTTCAGAATCCTTGCCTCCAAGGAGCAGCCTGTTTTCACCCTCTCCAGGGCAAACCTGTTTGTTCTCTTAGCATGCCATGGTATATTCAACATTCTTCTCCAACACCACAGCTCAAAGGCATCAATTCTCCTTCTATCATCCCTAGTCATTGTCCAGCTGATGATGCATAGCAAGTGATTACAAAGACCATGGCCGGTATCAGGTACCTGTTAGTCTCCAAAGTGACAACACTGTTCCTCAGTACTTTGGAAAGGTCTCTAACAGCAGATTTTCCCATCGCAATACGTCTTTTAACTTCCTGGCTGCTGGTGCCAAGAGTGTTGATTGTGGAGACAAGCAAATGAAAGCTGTTAACAATCTCAATCTCTTCACCATCCATCCTGATGCTTCCAATTGGCCCAGTGGTGATAATCTTTGTTTTCTTGATATTGAGCCTCAATCCATATTGAAGGCTGCAGTCCTTAACCTTCTGCGGCAAGTACTTCAGGTCCTCCTCAGTTTCAGCAAGCAGGGTTGTGTCATCTGCATGACACAGACTGTTGATGAATCTTCCTCCAATCCTGATGCCACCTTTCTCTTCATACAGCCCAGCCTCCTGGATAATCTGTACAATTTTTTTTATCAACTGTTTTGTAAATGCATACATTTTTAGCAGCCCTCTATAGTTTAACTATAAGGAACTGTGCTACCAATGCAAAGGCACCTAGTTCGAATCCACCAGGTGCTCTGTGGGGAAAAGATGGACAATCTCTTCTCATGTGATTTACTGCCTCTAAAAACCCATCGGAGAGTCAGCTACGGGTTGTTTCTGACTTGCATCTACACAAGAATAACAGGAACATTTTTAAGAAGAAGGATCACACTTCATTATATTTTCTTAAAAGTGGTAGATGCTTTTCTTTTTAAAAAAAAAACGGTGAGAAAAAATTGTATTTAGAATTAGCCAGTTGGACTCAGTTTAGATGACCCCAATTTTGTTGGCAACATCCAAAGCATCATAGTTAGGAGCAAGTCGAACATAGGCCTTCTTCTCTCCATCAGGCCTAATCAAACTGTTGACGGCAGCCACATCAATGTCACAGAGCTTCTTTACAGCTTCTTTAATCTGATGCGTGTTGATCCTAACATCCACAATAAATACATGTGTGTTGTTAACATCTATCTTCTTCATGGCTGACTCAGTGGTCAAGGGAAACTTGATGATAGCATGGTGGTCAAGGTTGTTTCTCCGGGGAGTGTTCTTCTGGGGGTACTGGGGCTGCCTTTAGAGCCTCAGCGTTTTAGGCTGCCGGAAGGTGAGTGACATGCAGATCCTCTTTTTTTTTTTTATTGGCTGTGCGTGCCCTTCAGGACTGCCTTCTTGGCCTTTAATGCCTTTGTTTTGGCTTCGGTTTTGGGAGGGACAGAGGCTTCCTTCTTGCTTTTGGCACCATCTTTGTAGAAAGGGTTTATTTTCCTTTTTTAAGAGGTGAGATGATTTACTGGTTGTTTACTTTTTTTAGCACAACTAAAAAACAGTGGGGTATTAAATTGTGGGGTAACATTCCATGAGTAGGGGGACAGGTTTTATACCCAGAATGCAAAACATATTAACTAACAATTTGGAGTAATGATTTTGCATTCATGACTTGAATATTTAAAATTAAGTCCATTTCTGCACTCTCTCTGCATGGCTGTCAGAATTATGTGCATACTGTAATCTCCTTGGTCATGAAAGACCAGTTTCTTAATAACATTTTTTATGTGCTGTGGAAAGTTGGAAGTTTGCCTGTGTAGTGTGTCTGATAATAAACTGTGAATCAACACTCTTGGCATCAGCAGCCAGGAAGTTAAAAGATGTATTGCATTGGAAAAGTCGACTGTTAGGGATCTCTCCAAAATACTGAAGTGCAATGGTGTCACTCTGGAGACTAAGGTGCGTCTGATACAGGCCATGGTCTTTGCAATCACTTGCTATGCATCAGAGAGTTGGACAATGACTAGGGATGATAGAAGAAGAATTGATGCCTTTGAGCTGTGGGGTTGGAGAAGAGTATTGAATATACCATGGACTGCTAAGAAAATGAACAGGTTCATCACAGAGAGGGTTAAACCAGTCTGCTCCCTGGAGGCAAGGATTCTGAAGCTTCATCTGACATGCTTTGGACATGTTGCAAGGAGGGACCAGTCCTTGGAGAAGGACATTATATTTAGGAGGGTGAAGGGACAACACAGGAAAGGAAGACCCTCTATGAGTTAAGATTGATTCAGTGAGTGGGATAATGGAGGTAGGTGTGTAAGAGAGAGTGAAACTGGCACAGGACAGAGCAGGGCTTAGGAATGTTGTACATAGGGTCGTTATGAGTCGCAGGTGACTCGATGGCACATAACAACACCAATAGCCTCTTAATGAAAGCATGCCTTCAAATTTAAAGCTGCAAAGTCACAGGAATTTCGAGAAAAACTAAAACTAGATTTTTAGATTTTTGGTATGTATATAAGAACTCATCAACAACCTACATTATACAAATGACACAACATTCTTTTGTTGAAATTGAGGAGGACATGAAATGCTTCATGCAGAAAGTCAAGGACTGTAGTCTTCAATATGGATTGAAGCTCAACGTCAAGAAGACAAAGATTCTCACCACTGGGCCAATTGGCAGCACCATGATTGATGGAGAAGAGATAGTTAACAATTACAGCTTGCTCGGCTCCACAGTCAACACTCTTAACACCAGCAGTCAGGAAATCAAAAGATAAATAGCATTGGAAAGTCTGCTATCAGTACTCTCCAGAGTACTGAAAAGCAACATTGTCAGTCTAGAGACTAAGGTGTGCCTAATCCAGGCCATGGCCATTACAATTACTTGCATCAGAGAGCTGGACAATGACTATGGATGAGAAGAAGAATTGATGCCTTTTAGTTGTGGTGCTGGGGAAGAGTCTTGCACATACCATGGACTGTCAAGGAAACAGTTTTGTCTTGGAGAGGGTGAAACCAAGTTTCTCCTTGGAGGCTAAGATTTTCAAGATTCATTTCACATACTTTAGACATGTGGACAGGAGGGACTGATTCTTGGAGAAGGACATCATGCTCAGAAGGGTGAAGGGACAGCGTAGAAAAGGAAGACCCCAAATGAGACGGATAGATATAATAACTGGGTATAGGCAAGTCAGTGTCAGTAAGACTGGCTCAGGACAGGCAGGCTTCAGAACTGTTGTACCTAGGGTCACTATGAGTCACAGGTGACTCAATAGCACATAACAACAACATATTAAGAACTGTATACACTTTATTCATAATGTCTTTGATCCTTAAAGCAACCAATAAAATAGCACTAATGAAATAAAACTAAAGAAATAAAAAGATGGCCATACAGTCTCCTCCCACGTAATAACTGCCTCTGAAAATGCACCAGAGGGTCTGCTATTGGTAGGTTTCGACTCGATGGTACACAACAACATCAAAATTAACTACAGAGGGTATTATTAAATGCTTCCCTCTGTTGTTTTAAAGGACTGTATCATTAACACTCATTTGATATTTTGGGTAGCCTAGGGGCAAGGAACTACACTGCGATCCTGAAGGCATGAAGTTTAAATCCACCAGTTGCTCTGTGGGAGAAGGATGGGCAATCTTCTCCCATGCGATTAACTGCCTCTGAAAACCCACCTGAGGGTCAGCTCTGGGTCAATTTCAACAAGGTGGTACTCAACACACAACAACAACACAACACACATAGGATAGGATATGGTTCAGATACTGCTCTATTTATGAGTCATACTCAAAAGCACTTAACAACAACCACTTTTACCTTCTCTGTGAGACACACAGGATCAACTTCTAAACAGTATACCTCATGTACACCAACCACATCCTCGTCGGCAGTGCTATGTGGCTATCTGGGATGTGACATATTTGCATGTTGTCATGATGTGAGCAAGTTTCAAGTAAGCTTCCAGACTGAGACAGACTAAGAAGAAAGGCTTAATGATCTACTGCTGAAAACCCTGTGGATAAGAAGGAAACACTGCCTGATCCACAACCGATCACAGAGATACATGGTGCAGAAGCGGCCACTGATTCAACGGATTACACAGAGCTGATTCTGTGGCAGGTAACAATAACAACACTGTAATACTGGTAGCTGCTATGTAAATGTACCTGTTCTCCTTCCCACTAACAAAAAAATTTCTTAAGGGCAGGAGACTGACTCTATGTACTATTTGTAACCCATGCTGCTTCTGTGATATCTCCTATATGAAAAATATTTAATAACTATTGTGAATAATAGTAGCAAAGAGGTAAAATGTAATGACACCAACAAAACTAAGCCAAAGGCAACTATAGGAGAATTTCCAACATTCTGAAAGGTACATTAGACTACCAAGGCAAAACCTTTAAAATCACAGCTGAGTACCTGTAGAGTAATATTTTGTTCCCTAAGAAGAATAATTTCAGCTGTCAGAGCATCAATGAGCTCTCGATGATCAACCAGTACTTGATCCAGTTGCTGTCTTGTCTCCACCTCTTTGCGCAGCTGTAGTTCACTCTACAAAGAAATATCAGTTAAACTTCCATGAGTAGCATCACAGCTTGGAAGCTAGAAGTTGTCATTCAAAGCTATCAAGGATAATATTCACAAAGAAGCATATATTATTTGACAGTCATGGCTTAAGAGCAGAAAAGGTGTGTTTCAGGGCTGTGGCCTTATCTATTCAATCTGTACGCAGAGCAAATAATTTTAAAAAGTAGGACAATATGAAGAAAATGTGGTATCAGGATTGAACACTCATCAGCAACTTGTGTTACACAGATGATAACACCTTGTTTGCTGAAAGTGAAGAGGACTTGAAACTCCTGCTGCAGATCACACTGCAGTCTTCAATACAGATTACATCTCAACCTCGAGAAAACAAAAATCCTCACCAATAGACCAAAAGGCAACATTACTGTTGCCTTACAGTTGAGAAAAGACTAAAATTGGCATCTTTTTCATTTTACTTAGATCCACCCAGGGTAACATGAGTCAAGAAATCAAAAGACATGTTGAAATGAGAAAATCTGCTATTAAGGACCTCTCCAAAGTGCTAAAGAGCAAAGAGGTCAGTTAAAAAGACTAAGGTGCTCCTGATCCAAGCCATGGTCTCTCAATTGCTTCCTAGGTATCCGAAAGATAAATCATAAATATGAATGACAGAAGGATGAATGCTTTTGCACTGCGGTGTTGGAGAAGAATACTGAACATCCTATGGACTGGTAAAAGAATAATTAACTCGGTTTTGGACTAAATAGAAGTAGAGTGCTCAGAAGATTGTTCAGTAGAGACACAGAGGTGAAAGGTCATCTCATATACTTTGGCCACACTATTAGGAGGGGTCAGCTTGAGGGAAAAAGACAAAGACATCACACAGGGAAAATGGAAAGGTCAGAGAAAGAGGAGGCCCTCAAAAAGAAGTACTGCACAGTGACACAGCACTGGCTTTGAAGGTATCAGAAATGGTGAAGATGTCACAGGATAGGGCGAGGTTCAGATCTGCTATTCATAAGGGCTTATAAATCGCTGTTGATTCAAGCAACAAAATCATACTTTAAAATCAGGATCATTTATCTGAGCATGTAGCAACAAATGACAGAAGGCCAAAAAAAAAGATAAACTTTAATGGGAATCCCAGAACACTTGATCGGGCTTGTGTGAAACCTATACCTGGACCAGGAGGCAGTTGTCAGAATACAGCAAGGGAACACTGCTTGGTTCAAAATTGGGAAAGGTTTGTGCTATATGCAGAACAGATTATCCGGCAGGCTGGGCTCTATGAGGAGAAATGTGGCGTCAGGATTGGTGGAAGAATCGTCAACAACCTGCATTATGCAGATGACACAACCCTGCTTGCTGAAACTGAGGAGGACCTGAAGCACTTGCTGCCCAAAGTCAACGACTGCAGCCTTCAACATGGAATGAAGCTCAATATCAAGAAAACAAAGATTATCACCACTGGATAAACTGGCAGCATCGTGATGGATGGTGAAGATATTGAGATTGTAAATAGCTCCACAATCAATACTCTTAGCACCAGCTGCCAGGAAATTAGAAGATATATTGCATTGGGAAAGTCTGCTGTTAGAGAGATCTCCAAAGTACTGAAGAGCAATTATGTCAGTCTGGAGAGTAAAGTGTGCCTGATACAGGCCAAGGTCTTTGCAGTCACTTGCTATGTGTCAGAGGGCTGGACAATGAGTAGGGAGGATAGAAGAAGAATTGATGCCTTTGAGCTGTGGTGCTGGAGAAGAGCACTGAATATACTATGGACTGCTAAGAAAATGAACAGGTTCATCATGGAGAGGGTTAAATCAGGCTACTCCTTGAAGGCCAGGATTCTGAAGCATCGTCTGACATTCTTTGGACATGTTGCAAGGAGGAACCAGTCCTTGGAGAAGGACGTAATGCTTGGGAGGGTAGAGGGACAGCATAAGAGAGGAAAACCCTCAATGAGCTGGACTGATTCAGTGACTGAGGTAATGGAAGTAGAGGTGTCAGAGACAATTAAGATTGGCACAGGACAAAACAGGATTTAGGACTGTTGTACATAGGGACGTTATGAGTTGCAAGCAACTCAACAGCACATAACAACAAAAACAACAATCTAAAATTAAAGTATTTTAAACAAAGCTATTATTCAAGGTTGACTGTAAATAAAGTGTTTATTCAGCAGTTACAATCAATTATGTGGTGGTGGTTGTTGTTAGGTGCCGTCAAGTCGCAGACGACTCATAGCGACCCTATGAACGAAAGGCCTGAGCACTGTTCATAGGGTTTCCAGAGGCAAACCATTTCGGAAGTGGGTGCCATGCCTGCTTATGTGAAGACAAGAAAAATCCCTAAGTGGAGACTAATGACATCATGCTCTTACCTCTTTAAGGTACCGAACCAGGCGGCAGAGGGTGCTCACCAGGGACAAAGTGAAGCCTGTGAGGCCTGGATTGCTCTGCAGTCCCTTGACTTCACGTCCTGTCCACCTCTCATATTCCTCCATTTCCTGTTCCACTTCCTCTATCATGTGTTTGAGGACATCCACATTGGCATTATTGTTACTCTTACTCTGTATATCTGCAGAGGTTGTGCTACTTGATAACATGTTTTGCTTCTGCTTGGAAGGAGCAAGCAAATCCGGTTTTCTTTTCACTGTTGACAGAAATTATTTTTTTAAGGTCAGGAAAAATGATTTTTAAACTGTAATAAAAACCTTTTAAACAACTGCCTATATCTAGAAATCATTTTTATAGAAGTTTATCATTATTGTTCCTCAGTCAGGTTAAGCTATTAAGTGAGTAAACTTGAATGATCTCTCTACAGAGCTATTGGTAATGGAAGAGGTACTATTAAACAAACTCTTTCACTGAATCCAATACTTTGATTTTAGGCTGAAAAACATTACTGAAGAGATTAAGATAAAATAAGTTCTGGGTAGCATAAACAGTTAAGTCCTTGACTATTCTAAGCAAAAAGCTGGTGATTTCTTTGAACCTACCCAGAGGCACCTTGGAAGACAAAGATGGCCACGTGTTTCTGAAAGGTCACAGCCTTGGAACCCTATGCAAACACAGTTCAACTCTGCACACATAGGGCGACCATGCATTACAACCAACTAAACAGCAATGTTAACAAGAAGAGTGGATTATGACACCTTTCTCAAGCTAGATGCCTTAATAACTCATCTTTATAAATTAGGGAACCAAACCTTTATTTAACAGCTGTTTTGGCTTCTTGGGGTTCAGAACTTGTCCCACAGCATAGCCTGAGTCTAGAGTCTCAGAAGATTCTTCAGGCTGAAACCTAGTATGAATTCTCCTCACAGCATTCGTAGCATTGAGAGCAGCTAAAAGGAAGGACATTTCAAAAAGCATTTCATCTCAAGTATAAAAAAAAAATAAGTGTTTCAATTAATATATCGACTGATATACTCAACTAATCAAGAGTAATCAATAATCATATTAGCTTTCCTTTTAAAAACTACTGTGTTCCCCTAATCTATGGTATAAACAGACTATCAAATACAATTATCAAACAAATCCTTTTATGTGTGCTTAAAAAGAATTTTTTAAAAGAATAAAAGGAGAATAACATATAGATTATCTTTGATAACCTATAAATTATAAAAATATTTGGCAATGATATGCCTAACAAGGACTTAATCTCTAAAATATATAGATAAGTCCAACACCTCAATAAGACAAAGAACCCAATTACAAAACAGGCAGAGGACATAAAAAGACCGTTCACCAAAGAATACATTCAAATGGTCAACAAATATGAATAAATGCTCAATATCATTAACCATTAGAGAGACCAAAATCAAAATAGCAGTAAGATACCATCTGCCCGGGCAACAAAAGACATCAAACAATAAATGCTGGTGAGGACGCAAAATGGTATAACCGCTCTTGAAAGCGGTATAATAGCACCACCTCCTTGGAAAGTTGGGAATAGAAATACCATTTGAGCCAGAACTCTCACTACTAGGAAAGTAATCTAAAGAAATTAGAAAAGAGACATAAATTGATATGTGTACACTCATATTTACAGCAGTGTTATTTATTTACCATAGCAGAGAGTTTGAAATAGCCTACATGCCCATAAATGGACAAATGGCCAATTATGGAACTATGGTTTCTTTACAATGGAGTACTATGCATCACTGGAAAAAAACAAAGAATTTGTGAAATAGTGACTGCACAATATAGATGAATCTAGAACAAATTATGCTCAGTGAAATAAATCAGCCACAAAGGTAATTATAAGACCACAGAGACAAGATAAGGAAATGTTTACCCAGGGACAGAAAGGTTCCTAGACAGTAAACAGAGATGGGAAGGAAGTGACAAGTCCCACAAACATAATAAATAGTTATGCAGATGAAGGAAAAGGCAACATGCAACAAGAAGTTGATCAGACATTATAAGTAATTAACTGTGCTAATCAATTGTAATAAATGTTATAAACCAAAATACCTAAGAATGATTGAACAACACACCAACACATTTATAAATTTTCAGTAAAAAACCCCCAACCCCATGCTGTGCAAATGTTCACCAAAAATACAATAAAATATTATTTAAATAAGTGAAAAAAAATGAAAAACTGCTGTGTTTAAGGAAGAGTCCAATAAAACCAGCCAACATTCTGTGAGAAGCGACACAATAGAGAAACACACCTTTGCGTTCACTTGATGGAGTGGCAGGTAACGGAGTTCCCGGGGAAGGTGTTCTTTGTGACTGTGCTGCTATTTTCTGCTGAATGTCAGTCCACAGTTGATTTATTAACTCGGAATTTTCTTCATTTAGTTGCTGAAGAAATCTATTAAATATATAATAGTAAGGTTTATTAGAACCCTGGTGTCCCAAAAGTCAGAAGTCCAAACCATCAGGCCAGAGTGCAGGAGAAAGATGTAGCCATCTGCTATGATAAAGTTATAATAGCCTTAGACACCCAGTGCAATTCTACTGTCTACTGAGTCACTCACTATGAGGTGAACCTGAATCAATGGCAACAGCTAGGAGAAAAATGGAATCATTCAATAGTTTACATGTTTGCTTTAAAGGAGGTTTTCAGAAAACCGAGCTTAAGGAGCTCTGATGGCACAGCACACAGATTGTGCTGCTAAGCTAAACATGGCTGGTTCAAATCCATCGGTGGCTCTGCAAAAGAAAGATGGGAAATATCCTTCTGTGTACTTTACAGCCTCTGAAAACCTACTGGATGGTTAGCTATGAGTTTCATCATTTATAATGAAAAAAGATACTTACACTTTAACCAATAAGACAGGGAGCCTTGATATCTGTCATCTTAACATTAGAAGGAATAGGCCAACTCTTTCCTTACTTGATTCCCTACCTTGCTTGGTCCCTTGGTGGTAGTTATTTCCTGCTCTTTCTGGAGTAATAAAGTACTGTATCCACCTTCCACTCTCTTTTCCTACAGAAAAGGAACAAAGCATCCATGGAACAGACCCTGCTCATTGTACAAATGAGCCTACCCTCGGAGCACAGCCAGTCTGTGCACCTCACCGAAGGTCACTCACTGGAGTAAAACATGCTCTTTTTGAGTGGGTGCGAAGGAGAGGAGCTGCAGTTAGGAAGGTCATTACTACAAGTTCTTTGGTTACAAAGCATTTGCCATAATCAACTTTATCCATGATAAAACTTAATGCCACCTTCATTGTTTGACTTCCTTATCTGTTTCTCAATCTGAATTGAGAAACAAAAGGAGCAGGAGGCTAAAAAAAGTAAGAACAACCCAAATGTCCATCAGCTTATGAATGGATTGGGAACTATTCTCCAGTCATAAAAGAGAAATGAATTACTGATAAATGCTACCATGTAGTCAGAAGCAACTCATGGCTAACCCTCTAGTGGGTTTATGGAGGCTGTAAATCACATGAGAGGAGACTGCACATCTTCCAAGGAACAGATGGTGGATTCAAACTACATGCCTTTGGGTTGGCAGCAGAACTCCTTACCACTAAGCCATCAGAGTTCCCTCCAATAAGGATAAACTGTGACAATAATATGTTGAATGAAAGAAGTCAGACATAGAAGACCACATGTTGTATGATTTTTTTTACATATGATAATTCAGAAGAGGCAAATCTGGATATTTTTGTCTATAAATACAGAAAGGCAAATTAATGGTTGCTTAGGGTTGGCCCACTCAGGGACACCAAAAAAAAGAAAGAAACTGCCAAAGAATATGGAGTTTCTTTTCAGGGTGGGGGGAAATGGTCTAAAATTGTAATCATAGCTGTATAACTCTGTTGATTTTTCAAAACCTAGTGAAGAGGACTTGGAATGCTTGCTACAGATCAAAATTCTTTGCCTTCGGTGTGGACTACATCTCAACCTCAAGAATACAAAAAAAAAAAAAATTCTCACCAATAAACCAATAAGCAATATCATGATAAATGGACAAAAAAATTGAAATTGTCAACTATTTCATCTTTCTTAGATCCATAATCAACACCCTTGTTACCAGCCCTGTTAAGAGGAAAGGAGATACAGTGCACTGGGAAAATATGCTGCCAGGGACCTCTCCAAATTACAAAAGAGCATAAATGTCGGTTTGAAGACTAAGGTGTGCCTAATTCAGACCATGGTCTTTTCAGTCACTTGCTATGCATCCAAAAGCTGGACAAAAAATAAAGATGACAGAAAAAGAACTGACCCCTTTGAGCTGTGGCATTCTTTAGAGGCAAGGACGGAGAAACTTCATCTATTTTGGACATGTAGCTAGTAGAAGCCAGAAAGGTCAGCAAGACAGCAAGCCCCCAAATGAGATTAATTGACACTGTGTCCACCCCTATGGGATCAAGTGTGTCAGAGATGATGAGGACAGCACAGGACAGAACAGAGTGCAGATCTATTATTTATAAGGTCACTACAAGTCATACTCAACTCGACAGCACTGAAAAACAACAACAAATGAACGTTACACTTTAGAGTTAGTAGCACAACTCTCTATAACTATCCCACCAGAACTCCCCAGATAATACTTTTTATATGGCATCTCAAGAAATCTTTTATAAAAACACTTTAAAGAGGAAATAGAGAGAATTATTTAATGGCCCTACAATCCTACAGACACATTAGAACCCTAAGGTAGATACATGATGTAGTCATTCAAAGGAGAACGGTGACCATGCGTCCGTTAAGACCTCATTTTAAGACAGTGTTAGCTCTAAGTTTGCCCTTCAGGATAAATACTATCAATTGTATTATAATGAAGTTTCTATAACAGCTGGAAAAATAAACAGAAATCTATCTAAAACTCACATAACTGTGCCCAAAAATTACAGCTTTAGAAACCAAGTCATATGAAACATTAACAACAAAAGAATGATACTATCTGGCTAAATAATCTGGGCTAAATAATGACCCCCAAAGACATGCCCACATGCTAACTCTATGAATGTGTAAATGTCACTTTATATGGTAAAAGAGGATCTGCGTAGAAAGAATTAAGGACCTTAAAATGGAGACATTACACCAGATTATTAGTGTAGGCTCTAAATGTAATCACATGTATACTGATAAGATGGAGGCAGAGAAGATTTTACACACACATACACAGAATATGAGGATGAAGGGAGAGCTGCAGAATGCTAGAAGGAATGGATTCTTCTCTAGAGAATTCTAGCCAAAATGCAGTGTTATTAAAACCCTATCTTTTTATCGAGTGGACAAATTACAGGTCTCCAAAACAGAAAAAAATAATTTTGTTATTTTAAGCCAACAAGTTAGTGGTAAATTGTGACACAATCTCAGAAAACCAAATACTACCTTAAATTTAGTTGACAACTTTCATTAAGAAAATTGGAAAGTGCTTTCTAATAATATTCTTTAAATACACTGGGAAAAAGGACTTTGCTTGTTCTTACAACCAAAATCTCCCTCTTATCTAGAATTTATTTTGTTCTGCTGTATTAACTTTAGGTAATTTATTGCTTGAACCCCAAGCTACTTTCATTTTCACTTTATCAACACTATACACCAAAGAGCTGGACAATGACAAAGGATGACAGAAAAAGAATTGATGCCTTCGAGTTGCAATGCTGGAGAAGGGTCTTGAACATACATACCATGGACTGCCAAGAAAACAAATAGGTCTGTCGTGGAGAGGGTGAAACCAAGTTTCTCCTTGGAGGGTAGGATTTTGAAGCCCCACTTCCATACTTTGGGCATGTGGCCAGGAGGGATTGTTCCTTGGAGAAGGACATCAAGCTCACAAGAATGGAGGGACAGCACATGAGAGGAAAATCCAGAAAAGATGGATTGAGACAGTAACTAAGACAATGGAGGTAGGTGTGTCAGAGTCAGTAAGACTGGCTGAGGACAGGGCAGACTTCAGAACTGTTGTACAGAGGGTTGTTATGAGTCACAGGTAACTTGATTGCACATAAGAACAAACAACAACAAATATTCTTTTAAAGTATCATCGATTGCAATAAAGTCCTAAGGACATAATTTCATAGATAACTTAGAAACACCAATATTTGTTTATATCTTTAATATACAAATCACCACCCAGAGGAACATATTCAAACATTACAGGAACTTTGCTTCTCATCTAGTTGATGTTACTAAGAAAGTCCTCCTCTCACATTTTTTCCAAGTCCTACTTACCTTCCAAAATAGCATTTCAAGTAACTGAAAAGTAATGGTTGGAGCATAAACAAAAACAAACAAACAAAAAAAAAGCAAAAATTCCTTGCCATTCAGATGACTGCCACTCATAGAGATATACAGGACAGAGCAGAACTGTTCATAAAGTTCCCACAACTATAAACCTTTACTAAGCAGAGTGCTCCATCTCTTCCTGTCTGGTGGGTTCCATAGACTCACCATTCCATTAGCAGCCAAATGTCTGAAACACACCAGCTCGCACACCAGCGAGCTCCTTTAACAGGTATAAGTTATTCAAAAGTCAGTAACTATCTGTTCACACACTTCACAAAGAGATAAAATTAGCGTTAACCAATCAAATAAAAAGCTATTTTTAAGATACCTAAATGTAAGGAACAGAAGAAATTGTGTACAAGATTATAGGTATTAAGGTTCTGAAAGGAAAAGTGCTTAAAAGATGACACATTTGCAGGTATTCCTAAGAAAACAGTTCAGTGCAAATCACTCCACAGTCACTGAAAAACACAGTTCAACATGAATTAATACAGCACACCTAAGATGTACCATCAACAGTACTTTAAGATAGAGAATATGATCACTTTTAAATTATCTGAAATAAAAAACTAAGTACCAAATCCAGTACAGGCTCTTGCCATGAGCCTTTGCTGAGCCTGGAAATGGTTCAAAATCTGCACAGAAAAAGAGGGTTGAGAGCCTACGACTGATAAAATTCACCATCTTAAGGGAAAGTTCACTCTATGTGTGAAGCACCTGACAATAACAACAAAGACCTGTGTGATCAGAATCCTGACTACTGAGAAGGAATCTCAAAGTGTGCAAAGCCCAAAGTGGTAGCGGGAGTTTTGGAAGAAGTGTCACTTCTTGGAGAGCACAGAACAAGAAGGGACACCTCTTGTGAGTGAATGAAGAGAAAAGCATGATTTGTTCAAGACAAAAAATAATCTTGACAATTAAACTAAAAAACATGCTTTGTTCTTGAAATGTCAGTGTTGTCCCTGCCTTTCTCACATGCACGTTTATGCACTTATTTCCTGCTTCACCATCCCACAGGATATCCATCCACTTCTACCCCCTCCCTTCACATCTATCTCCCTTTCACCAGCCCTCCATCTAATAACTTATATATGAAGCTTTCCATGGCTTCTGTGATTTCAAACA